CATCAACTATTGTTCTTTGTGAAGTTTCCAAACCTTCACAAGATGTAGCAAATGCAAATTTCAGATCCCTTAGCTATTCTTCTTTATCTGGTTGATTCCCATCTACTCTAGTCTGTATTTCCTCCATATCACAATGGCTGATCATGGAGACTCAAACATGTACTCAAGTGTGTGGGCTTGCACGTGTACATAATGCAAAGACCTGAAGATGGATCTGTTCCAGTTCAAAGTGTTATATCAATACTAATGGATCATTTTCAGTCATCTAAAGGATCAGATGTGTATATATTTTCCAGATTAGATAGTAACATGACACGTATTAATGCCAGTTGTTTTCACCTCAATTATTTCAGACCCTTGAAATTAAATATTTGTCATTTTATTTAATGTTTTACTATCTTTGTTATCTACAGAATAGGTTATTCCAAATAAAAAAATGGAATTTTATTTTTCCAAGAAGCTGTACATAGAGTGGGCTAAGAATGAAAGACAGAGGAAAACAAATGTGAAGTCTCTGTGAGCAGCTCTAACAGGGAGAGACATAGTTGTCTCTCTGCCTGTACTCAGCCTTGTGTCCTTCTTTCCCCTCTGTCTGGAGGTTCGCAGCTCCCTTATTGCTGGAAAAGCTGTTTATATGAATGTTCTATAAACTGCTTGGGGCAAAATGCATCAGGTTAGTTATGAACTCAAAAGGAACTAATTTGATTCATTTTGGAAATGGCATGTTAGGAAGCTCAGCTGGAAAATTTGAAAGAATAGTAACTTTCAGTGGGAGGAGGTGAATGTCAGCTGAGGGAAGCTGAGAACACTATCTTCCTCTTCAGCATGGATGGGTCTTGGGCTCTCCCTGTAACTTAATCATGGCTCTTCTAAGAAAAGACAACCCCATGCAAGCAGAATTATTATTTGTCATTTATGTCGCTTCCACAATTTCCTTTAAATTTCCTAAAAGGAAAGTTAAGACTTGAGGAATGATTTAGATAAAAAGTGCAATGAGATTCTCAAGTATTAAAGAAATTAATAATCTAGACCTCAAAGTGCCATGTGATAAATGTTGTGTAATGGATACTAACTTCTTTTTGTTTCTTTTCTGTTTTCTGCATTGTGGTGGTTGAGTTTGGGCATTTTTTTTTTTTTTTTTTTTTTTTTTAGGACAGTCTTGGCCTATGTGAAAATGTGATTAGAAATTTGTATTTCTTTTCAATGTGAGGTGAGTTTTTATCCAGTGACTGGTGTTTAGATATGTTGACTTTAAAATCAAATTCAAAGAAAAAAAAAAAAAAAAACAAAAAATAACCATGATTATCAAACCAATTTCTATTCTGTACTCCTTTGGTAGAAAAGGTGAAAACACAGAGCAATTGATTGCATAATGACTTGACATCTGAGTCTCCAGTTCTTTCGATATAGGTATAATTAATACCATAGCAATAGTGGTTTCATCAGTGTGAGATTTCTCTTGCCCTTAACAGGTAGGAGGACATACTGTTAATTGAATGAGTCAGAACGCAGTGTTTGACTTTCCCAGGGCTGTGTGTGTGTGGGTACGGGGATCCTGTGTTCTTTCTGGTCAGTAAGTTGAAAGAAGCTCAAAATATTCATCTTGGTGTTATTAAATTTAATGTGATATTTCCTGTTGATCTGGTGAAATCGGGACTGGAACTCTGTATAAAGAATAATCTATGATATGTCAGTTTACTGATGGTAAAACAATCTTACTATGCAGCTATAAGTGCTTTCTAAGAGATATAATATGACAAACATCAAAGGATAAGCTGACACTGGTAAACAATCATCAATTATTTAAAATAATTCTGCGAAAAACTGCAATACCTTATCAGTTTCAAACATGAAATGTGAGAAAAATAATTATTTCAAATCACCTTCACCTGAAATTGAACTTTGAGCAGTATGTTTCCTATTTAAAATTAATCTTTGTGGAAGCTCCTTTCATTCAGTGTTAGTGAGTGTCTTTATTTTGAATTCACTTGGTAGGAATACAAAGGTTGGTCACTGGTGCTCTGCTTCTCCTGGAGAGTATGGTCACGTACTTTGCTGTCTTGGATTTATAACTATTTAGCCTTGTGCAACTTTACTTATTTAAGTTATCTTTAAACAGGGACAGACACAGGGCAGATGTTTTCAGTTCGTAGAGAGTCCACCCCATGCAACTAGAGTTCTGCAAAGGTGCTTTTGCTTTACACATCATGTACTAGTTTTGAATTCAGGGGCACTGTGCGTGCCTGGACAGATGTGTGAGTACGTTGCTTAGGTGTGTCCTGATATGGACCTGATCCTGCTCTTACCTTGATGTGAGTGGTGCCAATGTTATAAGGCTCTCTTTAAACTCCAAATACGTAAGAGCACTCCTTGTAAATGTGTTTCCAGGACTCCACACTTGGGGTGTGTAACAGATACCCTGGTTTCAATCCTATTCCCTGCACTAGGCAGCCATATAGCCAGTGAAATATATGGCAGCCAAGTACAGTATATAAGCCTGGAGGTTTGATTCTGCAGCCCTTCTCCTGCATATAGGACTGCAGCACAAAAGGTTACATGCTTGAAATTTTAATTCTTCAACATTATGTTGTTCCACATAGTAGCTTGCTTGATCAGATATGCAAAATTAAATAAATAAATAAATAAATACATAAATAGACAGTAGGGTTATACAAGCATGAAATAATATATTAGCCTTTCTCTCCATTTCCCCAGGAGAATATCTATCTTAATGTAAATACCGTGCTGCTAAATTTCTAAAATAGCTCTCGTTTTAATTCTAAAACCCTATGAAAAACAAAATAAATGAGAGGTTTATGTACACTTTATATATTTTATAAACATATATTAAGTGCACTGTTTTTTTTGTTCATGGTCTTGGTGTTTCTATGCACCTGATAGTTTGGCATAACAGTTCATGGGATGATGCTAATCCATAAACTAGTAAATTGAACTATAACAGGCAACTGTTGTCATCTAGTGCTGCTGCCATTTGCTCTCTACAGCTTATAGGAGGTGCCAAAAAAGGCAAAGGATTCTGGACAGTGCATAAAACCCAATGCCCACTCCCTCAAAAAGCTTTGAGACAGACCATGGAGATGTTCAGCTCTTCCTTAATGCTCATCACCCATGGAGCTAAAGCTCTTTGAACCGGCAAGCTGATATATGCGAAACGTGGTTCCACAGTGGAGTCATGCCTCCAGGAGCAACTGGGGTACATCCCTCAAATGAAAGGGGCCCTGTGTTTCACTGGCATCAAGAGTAAACTGTATCACAGCTGTGAGGCTTTGGGCATACAGGGATATGGATGTTGGCCTAGAGAAAATAGAAGCTGGGAGGGTAAGCCATGGCCATGGAAAAGAAGTGGTTTCCAAAATGTATAGCAAGCCTTTTCCCAGTGGTGGGTGGTAATGAGCTCAGCTTAGCTCTGGCCTGGAAATATGAACAGCCAGAGATCGATAATGGTACTATTTAGAAGATATTTATGCTAATGTTGCCTTCACAGTTAACAAGCTAAATCTGCCAACAACGAAGACTTTTAAATATTTACTACTTTACTTCTAAGGCAATCATTTCTGACAAGCTAGGAAGTAGCATTAAAGCACTATGGAAAATGGTTTATAATCCTCTTATATTTATCACTCGTATTTCTGGGGTCAAAGATGATGTCATTTTTCAATGGTTGCCAGCAGCCATATGCTCTGAAATTATAAATAGTGCTAACGGAAACCTTAATTCGTCAAAAAATCCAGATTTTTTTGCAAGTGATTTCTCTATGTGATCTTCCAGAATACCATTGTGTCCCTCATAAAATAAATACCAAATGTTAATCCTTTTAGCCCTGTTAATCGTTGCAGAGCTGTATAGTGCTGCTGTTACCGTCCTCATTTAGGTTTTTACCAAGCAGCATGACAGGATGCTTTTAAAGGATGCACGGGCCCAATATTTTATCTATGTCAAGGATGTTTTCTTTATAATCATTCTTTTCCACTGTTACAAAAGAGTGATATCAATGAGAAAGGTGTCTGAGTGTAAAACATTAGTAAGACATTCTTTGAAGAAAATACATCAGGTTGTGAGTCTGTAAAGCAGACAAATATAAAATTTCACTTGCAACATCTCTGTTCAGCATAACATTTAAGCATGCATCTAAGACACTTTACAGTCAGTGCTTAAATTTAAACATGTGCTCTAGTATTTATTGAATCTGGTTCATGATATACACCTATGAGTATATTTATTTAATGAATAACCTTTTTTAATGCACGTTTTCCCTTTCTGTAACTCACTAAACCTCATTCATTTTGATTCTCTCTATTAAACATTTGTCATTTCCCCAAATACTCTGTTTCAGGAAGTACAGGGCCTTTACTCTTACTGTGACTTTTCAATTGTGAGGATTTGGTTTCCATTTTAGCAAAATTCTTGAGAACTTGTACTATTAGCAGCCATATTTTCAGTCTTATCATTTTAACTTGTGTCCAGTAAAAACTGGCTTTATACATCAACTGGGTATAAAATAAATGTAATCCTGAAGCAAAAGTTTAATTGTAATTATAAACGTCATGACTATTTGCACTAATTTGTACACAGTAGGTAAACTGCTGCAATGTAGAGAGTAATTTGTTTTGGAATTATTAATCCCAGTTTTAAACAGGAATAAATTACATCAGTGTATACCATTTTATATTAGACTATCAGCACTATTTCAGCCATGGGATATGTATTTCAGCAATATGACAATATTTGTACAGAAATTCTCATTATAGACAAATCTTTAGAGACTATCCTAAAAGTGGTGCAGAGCAGAATTGATAGAGATATATGATGGGGTTCCCTTTCCTGTCATATGCAGTGGAGGGAGGGTGGGTGGTAGGGGTGGGGGCACTGCTGCTGTGTTCGTTGCAGAATCAGGACACACTTGCAGTATATGACTGTAAACAGAACATGTCGTGTGTTCCCTTGTGCTGATCACTGTCTCTCCAACTCTATCTGACCAGCATCTGGGATTGTGGAGAAGAGGAGAGGACAGCCATGGCACCCTTGTGCAACAGCACTGATCTCCATCAGGGCTGCAGGTAAGTGGGCAAGAAAGAGGCCAAGTGTCTCCATAGCAGCTGGCCTCAGAGGTGCATAGTCAGCACCACAGCTAATGCCCACCAGTTGAGGATGCAGCTCTGTGCCTGGATGTTCTGGGTTTGTGTGGCAGGGTTTTTGATAACGGGGGAGGAGGCTACAGCGCTGGCCCCTGTGAGAACCTTCTTGAGGCTCCCCTGGCTCCAAGTCAGACCCACTGCTGGCCAAGGCTGAGCCAATTAGTGACAGCGGCTGCACCTCCGTGATAAGATATTTAAGAAGGGGAATCTGAAAAGGGGGTGGTACTTGTGAGGAGTATTAGGGAGGAAGACACCTATGCGAACGGTGAGGTCAGTGGAACAAAGGAGAAGGAAGGGGGAGGGTGCACCGGAGCAGAGACTCCTGTATCTCATGATGAGATGGCAGGGATGCTCCCCTGCCACACATAGAGTTCACCAGTGGAGCAGATGCTGACCTGTGGCCTGTGGAGGAGCCCACACCAGGACAGGTGTCTGCGCTTAAAGGAAGCCGGGACTCTGGGGGAAGGAAAAGCCCTCACTGTTGTAGTTTGATGCTGGGAGGACTGCAACATGCGGAAGTGACCCATGCTGGAGGAGCTTGGGAACAGCTGCATCCCATGGGAAGGACTCACACCAAAGAAAGTTCATGGAGGACTGTCTCTTGTGAGAGGGGAGCCACATGGAGCAGGGGAAGAATGTGTGGCATTCCCCCACCCTCTTCTGAGGAGGAGGAAGAAGTGAACTGACTGCTCCCCCCATTCACTGCCCTCCCCCCCCCCCCCGCCTCTGGAGGGGAGGAATTAGAGAGATAGGGAGCAGAGCTAAGCCTGGGAAGAAGGAAAGGGTGGGGAAAGGAGTTCTGGGGATGTGTTTTGGCACTTCTCACTGTCCCACCTTGTCTGTTAAGTGTTGCTGTTAGTGTCTGAATTAAAGTGATGTTATTTTTTTCTTCCCCTAATGAGTCTTTTGCCTGTGACCATAATGGGTGAATCACCCTTCCTTGTCCTTATCTTGATTCCTGAGCCTTTCGCCTAATTTTCTCCTTCCCAGTGCAAAGTGGGGAAGTGTGGAAGTGAGTGGCTGCTTGGTGCTCAGTTGTCCTATGAGTTTGAACCACAACGTTGGAGTAGTATATTCTGCAGTTTTTCTCTGCTGGGTTCTCATCCCACTGTTGTTCATACATTCCCCATAGCCTCTTGAACAGACAGAACATTGTCCACTTCCCATATGGCTTCTAAAAGTTTGAATTTCTCTTTTTTTCTAGCAAAAAATTAGGGTTTTTGTAAATTGGGTTGTTATTTCACACCAGATCAAAATATTAATCTTGGGTTTAATCCAGATTTGTATAAACTACATTTATATGCCCTTAGCCTTCCATTAACATTCCTACATGTTTATGAGAAAGTTCTTTTATTTGTAAGCTTTCATGTAATCTCTGCCAGACTGTAAAGATGCAAACATCAAGAAAAGTATTAGCTTGTATACTTCTGCTGTAAATGCTAGTGTTGCACAGGGAAAGCTTCATATTAATCTGTTAAATTTCAGAAAACTATTTGGAGTTATAGTTGCTTCTCAGAAAATAAAATAAAAATTATATTTCTAGAAAAATAAACATGGAGTTCAGGTTTCCTGACATCGATACTTCAAAAATAATTTATTTTTTATTAATATATATTGCAAAAAGTGCTGTTTTTTCTTTTTTTTTTTTTTTAGGAGTTAAATATTCATTAATGAAAAGTGCAAAAATAACCTTGAAACATCAGTGTGTCTGTATGACTATATATAAAGATCATTTTAACACTGCAATTTTACATAAAATAAAGGAAAGCATATTAACAATAATGAAAATGATACATTATCAGATGTATCATTAAAATTTCTTAGACTAAATTCTGGCACTCTGAGTTCCATCTGAAACACACTTCTTATGACTAATTTATAAACTTCTCAAAAAAATACTTAGAAGAGAAATGCTTGCAAACAGGTAGTTGATTCATTGCATCACTTAGCCTATGTCTTTGGGTCAAGACCATCATAAAATTAGAATATAGAGTTTTATATAATCCTAAATAAATTCAGCAGGTTTGTGAATAAACATCATTGTGTGATTTAAAATCAGACACCACTGAAGTGTGTAAAAATCCCGCTGTATTGACATGCAATGTAAATAAACTCAACTCTTCACTGCAATTCTTGTTTCATTATTATTAATACAACAGGATTTCCTGCTCTTCTGAACTGTGTTGGAAGTCCTTGTACCTCAACAGACATGGCTATCACCGTAGTAATCTTTCTCACTTTCTCACATGACGGGAGTGGTTCTTTACATCTTGGGATCTGAAGGAGCAGTGCTTTTAGCTTACCTCTTTAGCAGAATCTGGTTCTACAGACAAAGCAATTTTTGAACTTGATAAATTCTTTGACCTGATGGTAAATGTTATGGCAGAACATTACCATTTTGGTCCAAAATTGTAGAGGCTTGAAGAAAAGACTGACAGGTATATAACCTTGTTATGTGGACTAATCTATACAGGTAATTTTGGTAAGAGAAGTGATTTACAATCCAGTAGTTAATATTCTGTCAGAGTTCTCTCAGAAAATATTGAGTCCTCAGTGAAATCACTAAATGAGGTACAATAACTGGGGAACGAGATACAGAATTGTATCTATCATTTACACTACAGTATCAAGGATCCAACTTCATAAAAAAAAAAAAAAAAAAAACAAACAACATTAAAGCAACTAAAATGTTGAACCTTCTAATTATTAATAAGTAGGAGATGAGCTGCAGGAAATACATTGTTTCAGATATTCTGCTAATGTTAATCTTGAATTGTCTCAACAATGCATTGTAAGAATAGGGCGCAAAACAAAGAAAGCTAGATACATCAGTTTTCAGAAATGAAAGTAAAACAGATCAGAGAATTAAGGACAAGAAATGTATGACAATATTTAAAAATTCTTTTTTGCTTTATTAATACAAATGGAAACATTTTACCTTAGTTTTATGCATCAAGACTGACTAAATATTAGAGAAACAATCTAGTCATGTTTTCTGACATCATTTCAGGAGGATGATTTGTTAAATTTGTGTTTCTTCATTATTTTGTAAAGTGTCATTACTTAAGATTTGTTATTGTCAAAGGTGCATATACTTCAACTACTTCAGATGACTAGAAAGAACTACTGTTCTTTTGCTAAAAAAAATCCCTTTGTGGACAATTTTATTTCAGTGATAGTGTCCTATATAGATTTCAGAGTAAGTCTGATCCTTAGTGACTTTTTTAACCATATTTTCTTTCACTGAAGTCCCTAAATTTTCTATTTATACAAGTAAGGCCATCATTAAGCAAAAAGACCTCATACTTCAGTGAGGGAGATGATCTTCTCTGGAGTCAGGTATCCTATTTTAGAGAGGGGGAGCCAGCTTGAATTCTTACAAACAACCAATGGAATTGTTCATTCTAAATATATCTCACTTTCAAATGCCTGGCAGATTTGTAAGTAATGGCTATGAACTGCATATTTCTGAATTCAAAAAATTAAAAAATGAACCTTAAAAGTGGCAATCTGCAATGGATTTAACTTTAATTACCGAATACAGTCTATTCATTCTAGTACTTTCACAAGGTTTTTTTGTACATGAAAAGAGTATATTAATTGTAACAAAAAAGTTTTTTTGTTTAAATTTATAGGCGTCTGAAATCTGTTTTTCTTCAGTAGAAAAACATGTTCTGGAAATTCTTGAAAAAAGCTGGGTTTTAACTATGTGAGTAATTATTCTCTAAGCCAAACACTTAAAATCCACATGATGACATGAAACATGAATGTGTTGTATTCCAAAGCATAAGATTCAAGATTTTTTAACAACAAAGGAGGAATGACTTTTAAAAAGCATGTCAGCTTTTTAGGTCAAGATGACATCGAAGCTGTTGCAGAAGCTCAAGTTATGATATGTGAGTCATTGTTCACCTTTCTGCTCAAAATATCTTTCTGGCTGGACTTGTGCTCTTCAGTAACTGTAATATAACTATGAATAGCTTATTTTCCTTCTTTCCCAACTGATTTGTTAGATAATTAAGCTTCTCAAAATATCTTAAAGGTTCTCTCATAATGTCTGACAAACTGATGTGAACAACTTGCATTTTGTTAATGATAAAATTATGTATGAGAGCTTTGAAAATTACAGGGTTTTTTATTTCTGTTTGATTACAGGCAAAAACTGAGTTAAAAGTCCGTGGCAGAATCTCAGCAGGATTATAGAAGAGTCTTTCCAAAGCAGGAAAGTATTACTCTATTTTTGTGGATTGTTCAAAATACAATTGATCAGTTATATTTTAGGCATCTTCTGTGTCGTGGGGTTTTCAGTTTTAATGGGAAAATAAAAGTAAAAACTAAATGACAAATCATCCAATGCAGCAGATGAAATGTGAGATTCATGTTATGACACTGAAGTTTGAAAATATGATTGCAATATGTTGACATATGTGTCTCTGAAAAGTAGGCAAGTTAACATCTTCACTGACCTTCAAGGTGGTTCTACGCTTTGCAGGTAGGTGAACACATGAATAAAACAATCAGGGCTGAAAATCTATTTCTACATAGACAGCAAAACAATAATGCAATTAATCAATGAAAAGGACTTTCATTATTGCATTTAGTTTAATTTATTGTCTTATCATGAATAGAACTTTTGAGTCTGGCTTGCTGAAATTACTGCTTGCGTAGGCTTTGTAACCTGTTTTGACTTAGCTCAAATACTGAGGTTTTTTTCATAATTAAAAGGTCACTTATGTCTGCACCAAGCATGAGTGAGAAGTTGACTCATCTGCTGACTGTTTGTTGTGTAGTCCACAGGACAGTTGTGAGTCTGTAAGCTGCATGTGTAGAAAGAGATAAGAAATGCCGGTGCATGCAGATCAGCCCTGGTGTCTATATTTTCA